GAGGAGAACGGATGGAGAGAGGGGAGGGGATGGGAGTGGATGAGGGTGGGAGGGGTGGGAAGAGAGGGAGGAGGGTGTGAGGAGGGAGGAGAGGAGGAGGAGGAGGAGGAGGAGGAGGAGGAGGAGGAGGAGGAGGAGGAGGAGGAGGAGGAGGAACAGTATCTGTGTAGATGCACGCCCTTCGGCGTCCCCCAGGCCGCGCGTGCTTGCAGCAGTAGCATCAGGACACCACGAACTCAGCGATCGATGACAAGCGCAGCAGCAGGAGGAGGAGGAGGAGGAGGCCGCTCATCGGGCTCGGCTGTCGCGCCTCCTTCCCCCCTGGCGACAGCGCGTCGCCCCTGCGGTGCACGGCCACCGCATCAGCATGGGGCCCGTGGGAAGCCCCGGCGTGTGCCGGGCTGCCAGCCTTAAATCGGGCGTGTCCCTCTACAGGAGGAATATTCAAGAATAGTTAATAATAGTCAGGGGGCGATTTTTGGGGTATTTTTTGACCATTTTAGGAATATTTTTTGACCATGTTTAGTATTTCGTCCAAAATCCGCCTGTCGGGGGACAGGCCCGACCTACTTGAGGCTGGCTCGCACGAGGGACCTCCGGGCTTATGATGTTCCGACCTAGTTAGGCCTTCATCACCAGAAAGGATTTCGAGCACCAGGAAAGTACCGAAACTGAAGGGTGTTCACGTGTCGGGCCCTCGGAGGCGATATTCGCTCGACGCTTCGCTAGCGTATCGGGGAGGCACTGCTTCGATGTTTTTTTGGGGGGGTTATCGAACATATTTCTGGAATGTGGTCCTGAAGTACGATGGGAGCAGCGCAACTCTGGGCGCATCTCAGCCGTCGGGCTCAGCGGATGCAGGGTCTCGCCACATGCGCTCGGGCATGCGCGACGGGCGATGGCCGCGAGGCCGCCAGACAGGGCGACAGGATCACGGCAGCGTGGCGACGCCTCGTTCCCCTCTGCGACAGTCCAGGCCGGAGGCCGGCAGAATCTACGCTCTGACGCCGCTTCGAGCACTGCCCGATGCCGCCGAACCGAACGTCTCGTTTCGGTCGGCGCGCCTGACACCGACCGAAATGGGACGACGCTCAGTCTGCCCCCCGTCCACCTCTGCTCATCGAGAACAAAAGAACCCCTCATCCCAATAACACAGTGAAGACGTGGCCTTACTGAGGTCCCCGTCTGTGCATCAGGGATCATCGATCTGGGCGGTCTGGTTCGACGCATCCGCAGAAACGAGCCCCCAAGTATCCCAAATGTTTCCGGCCCTCCCAGCTTAGGTCCCCTCTCAAAGGGTTAGGGATTCCTTTTTTTGTTGATCATGTGCCTTTTCCCATCTCCCGGAGCTTGAGCTGGCGAGCGCCCAGCAGGGCCGTGCCTTTCTCCCCTATCGAACGGTCGTGGGCGGTGGCAGGTCTCAGGCCTCGTGTACCCTCGCAATTTTGTCTTTAGTGTGCACTAGCGTTGTGTAGTGCCTGGTAATCGATGAGATCGCGCCGATTCAGCGTCGACTACCCTCGATTGGCGTTGATTAGCGTCGCTTTGGCGTTGATTAGCGTCGATTTGCAAGGGCCAGCGAGGTGATATAGGAGACTCCCATGAGTTGGCATAGAAGATTGTGACGAGATGCAGTTGCTGCGTTTCCTGGAACACCTTTTTGAAGCACTCGGCTGCTATCTTGAGCGCGGCTCCGCTGCTATCGTTGCGCGCGCCTCACCCTCCCTCCACTTCTCAGCCTCTGTCCAGCCTTGGGCTGCGCGTCACAGGCCCCCGTCCCCCCCCCCGCGCGGCCCGCGACCTGGGCGGGAGGCAAATAACATCAAGAACGCAGCCGACACCACCCGCTACGGCAGCGCCGACGAGGCCATCGGGCTTCCTACGGGGACGAGGGTGGGTGGTGCGCACGACCTGGAATCCTGGCGTCGCACTTTTTTCGCTCCAGGCTGTTTGTCCCTATGGCGGAGGCCTTACGAGCGGCGCCGACCCTGAACGACGACGTCGAGGGGGCGGAATTCTGACCTGGGACCCCCTCCTGAGACTCCTCCCCGCCGCCCCCAGGGACATCCCATCCGGAACGCATCCCCCCCCTAGGCGGGGAAGGTATCACATGGAACGGGCTGCCCTTCGACTGAACTGCGACGTTCCTCAATTCCTTTGTTGCTGGCGGTTGAAGAGGAAGACTCGAAGAAACGAGGCAGAGCGGCGACGGCAGCGGCAACGGCGACGGCAATGGCTTTTTGAGTGCCACTGTTTTTTTGGGTGGCACCTGCTCAGCCTTCGAGCACAGGGCCACGTGTGCTCCTGGAGTCGCATATCTTCGGCAATCGGCGTCGGGCCCAGGGTTGGAGGCTATCTTTCAGGGCGAACGGAGGAGGTCATACCTGTTTTCGTCGTGTGTGTGTGTAGTGTAATCCCATGTAGAATTCTCCTCGCTCCTCCTCTTCGTCCTATCCCCTCGTTGCCCTCTTCTTATCCTTCGTCGACGAATCCCTCAGGC